GCAACCCAGGCATTCCCTAGCCTAGACATCTTGGGGCGAGAAGAAATTACACGCTCCCGTTTTATTGAAGGACTGCTGCCAGGTGCACTGCGAGAACATCTACTTCGAGTGCCACCGGCTGACACAGCCGACTTGAAACGAACGGCACTTCGATTTTTGACTGCTGAAAGACTGTCAGTTCCATTGGCGACCTATCGACCAACCGTGATGACTATCGATGAAGCCACCGAACCTAATCTACAAGATAGCTTTCAAAGTGCCGCGGCTATTAGAGAGTTCCCTGACCGGAATAGTAGACGAGGGCAGCCGACTTCCACATGGAACGGACGGTCGTCAAGAGACAACTATCGAGGCCAGCAAACAGAATGCTTCTACTGCAGACGTTTCGGCAAAAATGCCAAGAAATGCGGTCATAACCGCGTGAAAAACAGAGGTAAGCAGTGTCGTTTGCATATATCGTCTTGCTATGTTAAACATTTGTGCCCTGTTACTATTAAGGGTAGAGTGCAAAGTACTGAGATTAATATACTATTAGATACAGGAGCTTCAGTATCCTTGATCAAGGAAGACCTCTTGCAGAAACTTAACCACAGCACTCAGCGTAAACAATGCTCTTCTACCTTAATTACCGCGAGCGGAGAACCCTTGAAAGCGTGTTCTAAGATAGGGTTAGAGCTGACGGTTGACAAGAAGCCTTTTCAACATGAATTCTGGGTTTGCCCCACACTGACTTGGGACATGATTCTCGGGGTCGACTTCATGTTAAAATACCAGGTCTCTATACACATGAATAAGTCAGAAGCGAGTATTGGTGGAGTTGTCGTGCAAATACAACACCATGAAATACCAACTAAGTCCGTAGCCCAGGTGGGAATTTCAGAAATTGTACGTCAGGTACAAGATAATAAAATAATAATTGAAAAAGACCGTCGAGCAACCACTGCTGTACTCCAACAATTCAGTTCCGTTTTCTCTGAGAATATCTCTGGAAATCGGACGACCACTGTACAGCACTCCATCCTCACAGGTGATCACACGCCATTACGTCAACCACCTCGCCGAGTACCAGTACATTACCAGCCTCAATTAGAATCTATGGTAAAAGATATGCTGGAGAAAAAGATCATTGTACCATCTTCATCACCATGGGCATCGCCTATCGTTTTAGTGAAAAAGAAAGACTCTTCCCTACGACTATGCGTAGACTACCGCCGCCTTAACGCTATAACTAAACGTGATTCTTTCCCACTTCCACGTATAGACGCTACATTAGATGCCATGAAAGGCGCTCGTTGGTTCTCGACTTTAGACTTAGCATCAGGGTATTGGCAAGTGGAAGTCCGACCTCAAGATAGAAAAAAGACTGCATTCACAGTACCCAATGGTCTATATGAGTTTCAAGTAATGCCGTTTGGGTTAACTAATGCCCCAGCCACTTTCCAACGATTAATGCAGACAGTTCTACATGGTCTCGTACCACACCAGTGTTTAATTTACCTTGATGATATTATTGTGTATGGCAGAACGCCGGAACAGCATAATGCCAATTTGAAGGCAGTCCTACAACGAATTAAGCAGCATAACCTAAAAGTTAAACCATCTAAATGTCGACTATTGCAAAAAGAAGTGCTCTTTCTAGGGCATCGCATTACAGAAGATGGAGTAGCAACAGATCAGGGAAAAACGAGCGCCATTATTAACTGGCCACAACCGAAATCTGCCGAGGATGTTCGCAGCTTCCTGGGACTCGCTTCTTATTATAGACGTTTCGTACGGGATTTCGCATCCCTGGCAGCACCTCTGCATCGCCTGACGCACAAAGGACGAACATTTTTGTGGACCACAGAGTGTCAACAAGCATTTAGCACTTTGAAGTCGTGTCTTGCTGCTCCACCCGTACTAGCTTTTCCGGACACTTCTGCTAAAGCGGGTGAGTTTATACTCGATACAGATGCTAGTTCATCAGCTATTGGAGCAGTCCTGTCTCAAATAGCAGTAGATGGACAGGAGCGGGTCATTGCCTACGCTAGTCGGCGGTTAGATAAGAGGGAGACAAGGTATTCTACGACGCGCCGAGAGATGCTGGCTTTGGTAAAATTTTCGCAACATTTTCGTCACTATCTTTTAGGACGACCCTTTCGTGTACGCACAGACCACCGTGCACTACAGTGGCTTCGTTCGTTCCGTGAACCAGAAGGTCAGGTAGCGCGCTGGCAGGAGAGGTTGCAGGAGTTTGATTTTACCTGTGAATACCGACCCGGAAGCCGACACACAAACGCTGATTCTCTATCTCGTATACCTTATTCTCCTGATACCATTAGTGCCGTCCTTAGCACAGCCCCCGAGATCGACTGGCCGTCTCTTCAAGCAGAAGACCCAGATCTGCGATTTATTTATCAGAGGCAACTACATGGCAATAATAAACCATCTATGGCAGAGTTAAAGGATCATTCCTTGGCAACGCGCCGTCTTTGTGCCAAGTGGGGCGGTCTAAGATTGTATGAAGACACGCTATTTATAGTCAGTGAATCAAAACAACCACTACTGATAGTACCACGTATACAAGTTCAGAATATTATGGAGCAGGTACACCGAGAACTGGGGCACTCAGGAACACGGAAGACTGAACATGCTATCTGCGGAAGGTTTTGGTGGCCATCCATCCACGAAGACGTTGCAGAATTCTGCAAAAATTGTAGCACGTGCTATGCTATCAAGTCACCCCGACAAATACCCCGCGCACCCTTAGTTCCAATGACGACAGAAGGTCCGCATCAGCGAGTTGGCATCGATATTATGGGGCCACTCACAACGTCGAAGAACGGAAACCGTTATTTACTGGTTATGGTAGACTATTTCAGCAAATGGTGTGAAGCTGTGCCTATACCACAACAAGATGCCCTCACAGTTACTCGGGCTTTCATTGATCATTGGGTATCCCGGTACGGCGCTCCCCTCTCACTCCATTCTGACCAAGGTTCAGCTTTTGAAAGTCATCTCGTCGCCCAGGTATGTCGATTATTGGGAATCCGGAAAACACACACTACCGCATATCATCCAGAAGGTAACGGCTTAGTAGAAAGAACCAACAGGACTATCAAAGCTCTCCTTCAATCGTTTATCAATAAGTCGTCGACGGAAGGTTGGGATGACGTGATACCACAATGTCTGTTAGCTTACCGCTCATCAGTGCACGGATCTACAGGATTTTCACCGGCGACCCTACTTTTTGGGCATGAATTGCGCCTACCCGTTGAGCTGCAAATACCGCTGTTACCATGCGAGATCCAAGATCATGTAGTATACATCCGTAATCTTCGCAGCCGCCTAGCCGACGCCTATCGCTTAGTGAAGATCAACCTACAAAATGCCAGCAAGCACCAAAAGGACGTGTACGATCGCAAGACGAACGGACCTGTGTATAAACCCGGAGATCGCGTGTGGCTGCACCGCCCTTTGGCTCCACCGGGGACATGCAGCAAGTTCCATCACCCTTGGCAAGGACCTTACGAAGTTGTGTTTATGCGGTCCCCCACTACATTCGTCTTACGTAACCTCCAACGACCCCAAGACGATGTTATAACAGTACACTACAATCAATTAAAGCCAGACAAGACAACGGTGCACTTAGATACCCCGTTTGTCAACCCCCCGACTGCCGTCAGCCATTATGAAGTGCCACCAGAAGGAGGGGTAGCATACCCATGTCCAGCACCAGGCACTGAGGACAGTGCCTCATGAAGAGAGGGGATAGTGTAACAGTATCGAAAGTCATTACGTGTAACTTTATTAATGCAGGTTTGTTTTCCTTATTGCAGGACAACAGAAAGTGAACGTATTAGAAGAAGAAGAACAAAGCTTGCGCAAACTAAACCTGCTGGATGATGAGTAAAACTATTTTGTAACAGACTTCTCTTTTTGTACAAAAACCGCGTATTTCAATTTCTAATATATCTCTGTTGTGCTCGCACGCCGTGTTCTCACTTGAGTGGCATCTGCCAGTCCTGACTGTTGTGTTGTGTTTCAGATTGCTCCTGCCTCCAGGTAAACGATAAGAAAACGTGCTACACTGCTAACATACGATCGGTTCACAGCGGATTTTAGAGAGTAGGTGATTAATGAGAGGTTACAACAGATAGGACGGCGAAACTCTATTTTAGGGACGAGCCAGTGAGAAGCGTTTGAGAAATTTCAATTATTAGTCAATCAGAAGACAGTATAAAGTAAAAATATATTACAAGAAAGTAATGAATTACAGTGGATATTCTTCTTTTACATGATTTAAAAACCTGTTGAGGTTTGATAAAGACTCAGAAGTTCTGAATTCATAATGCATATTGTATAGAAACTCGTCCATAGGGTTAGGGTTTGGGGTTAAAATTAGGGTTAAGGGTTAGGTTAAGGTTAGGGTTAGATTAGGGCTTAGGGTTAGGTTAAGGTTAGGGTTAGATTAGGGTTTAGGGTTAGGTTAAGGTTAGGGTTAGATTAGGATTTAGGGTTAGGTTAAGGTTAGGGTTAGATTAGAATTTAGGGTTAGGTTAAAGTTAGGGTTAGGGTTAGATTAGGGTTTAGTGTTAAGGTTAGGGTTAGATTAGGATTTAGGGTTAGGTTAGGATTAGGGTGCTAACATGCGATCGGTTTACATCGGATTTTAGAGATGTGTCTACTTACAGGCTACAACCCTAACCACTAACCCTATGGACGAGTTTCTATACAATATGCATTATGAATCCAGAGCCTCTGAACCTTTATCAAACCTTAACAAGTTTTTAAATCATGTAGAAGAAGAATATCCACTGTAATTCATTACTTACAATATATTCTCACTTTATACTAACTGTCTTCTGATTGGCTAATAATTGTCAAGGTCACTTAAAATTCGTTCAAAGGTCGTCCTTAAATTAGAGTCTCGCCGAAGTAATAATATAATTTGCGGTAGGTGGTAAACATGAGATAATTTTGACGAAGTGTATAAAACCAAAGAGTTATTAGTATGGAATAGGACACACATTGAGGAAAGCACCGAATTGAGTCACATGGCCACAGGAAAAGTGGAAGACCAAAGAACACATTACGCTTAGAAATGGAGACAGACCTGTGAAGAATGAATAACAATTGGATAGCACTAGAAAGGAAGGTCCAGGACAGTGGGTTGGAGAATGCCGGTCGGCGACTTATGCTCCAGTGTGAGTAACAGGCGTAAGCTAGTAAGTAAGTAAGAAAATTTGCTGAAAGTCAATGAAGTTTAGTCGGAATTAATAAATACTAAAAAAAACTAAACACTAGTATTAATTGAAAAGGTCAATCGAATTTGATATCATATCACCTCTGACCTATCATTAACTTTCATGGATTCCCTGTTTTCATCAATCAGTTACTCATGTTCCTGGACCCCAGCCATCCTTTGATTATCAGTCAGATGTTTTCATATTTTGATTAACCGAACATCAAGATGTGTTAAAAAACTATTTCATCCTGTGCTAAAACTTCTTAACAACACTAACATAACTTAAAGTTTCGTATCATGGGCTTTTATCCCTATCACTCAATATTAATTGCATAGTTTACGTTTACAATCCAAATAATCTCGACACGAGTTTTTCCATAGCGAAAACTACCTGGGGAATTAGTGGAAATAGTATCTTCTCTCTAGATGTCACTTCTGTAAAATCTTGGTGTGTGCGTTTGCAGTCATACCCACTTCTGTTGTCCTCAACTTATTTATTCATTTCACCTTCAAATAATTGTCCCAGGTGATTTTTGCGTTGGTGTTGATTTGATCGAAAAAGCCTATGCGCCAGATGTTGGTACTCGAAGTTCATTTGCAGGTAATTTACTCCAACGTTTTTAATTTGTATTTACTTCTACAATAGATTCGATTTGAACATACTTAGTATTACTTCCTATTGTTGTTAGTTCTTAACACCTATTACAATTGATAGGTCCAATGTAGAAGAGCTGATTTTTGTTGAAACGAAAAATACAGCTAAGCAGACAGCATTTGATTATTGTGAATACTTTAGTAAATTCCAAAACCGTCCGTCCCATGTGATAGGATACTCTTGGTTTATGTTTATTCCCTCAGTATTCATCAAATATGTTTATAAAAGGTGAAGTGGTTACTCGTTAGTTAAGATAATAGTCAAGGTTTATTTATTGGTTCACTTGAAGCAGAATTTATTATATAAGGTTAGTGCTACTGAGCTCTTATTTACACAAAAAGATGAAAAGGAGCGGATGATTACGTCTAAAGAAATGTGGGGACTTTGATAATCAATATCACAGATGTCAAGATAAATTGCCTAAACTTTTTGTCTTGTGTAAATGTAATTTCCTAGCTCTTTCTTATTTTCTTTTAACCGAACATAATATGAATTCTAAATTCCATCTATCCATTAATTCATAAAAGCTATTCAAATCAATTTATAAGCTTTTACTTCCCTTACTCTTACGTTATCAAAAGATATAATCATTACTGTCTCCTTCTGTTCCCTAGCTATATTGATTTCAAGAAATGGACTATATAATAAAAAAATGCAGTAAAAGTCTCATTAAGTACATAAATAAACATTGTGACTACGAGATATCAATTTTGTCCAAGTTACCATCAATCATTATTGCCTTTCTTGGTATCAGTCTATTTCTACATGGTTTTTTATTGAATCGAACTGAGCTCTACAATGAGACAAATGAGAAATTGAAATTATCATTGAATTATACTTCAACTGTTGCTAGAAATGGTCGAATGATCCTTTTACTTGTTGATGCATTGGGTTATGCACTTATACAAGACAATAATGAAAATAACCAATTATTACATGGTCATATTTCATCACATTCCCAAAATCGATATCATCCACTACTTGATAGTTTATCTAAAGCGGTATTTATTGGGAAGTTTATCGCAGACCCGCCGACAACCACGTTACAACGTTTAAAAGCTCTAATGACAGGGAGTATGCCAACATTTATAGATGCAGGTTCAAATTTTGGCGGAAGTAAAGTAATGGAAGATAATTTACTAAAACAGTGGAATAAAGCTGGAAAACAAATTCGATTTGTTGGCGATGAAACTTGGATTGATCTGTTTCCTGATAGGTATGTCGATTGATGTCATATATTTGTTTATTTTATCGTGAAGAAGTTCTTAATAAAACGTATGATAGTTATAGTTCCAACCTTTCATAATTAGCAATAAAAATGAGCTTTAAATTCATTTACCGAACCACCATCACTATCACTGTAACTCTGTACTTAGTTATTTGACACTATACAATGTCGTTACAGTTTTACTCTCCAAAGGTCTAACCGATTTTGATCGAATAAACAATGTTCCTTTAACATCTGCTAGAGGGACCAACAAATACATACAATACTAACATAATGACATTAAATTAATAAAATCATTAGCAGTAAATCATGGATACAAAGTTACCTGTATAAAATTAATACCATACCCTGGTGAAGGTCAGCACCATATCCTAGCAGATGGCCATATAGTATGCCCAAATTCGAATAGGGTATTGGAACATTAGTTAGAAGTGATAAAGTTGGGACAAGATCTATTTGATATAATCGTCTATTAGTTTGGTTCTCTGAATCATCTTTTATCACAAGTGTACTCTGATCAGCAGTAAAAACGATGAAAGCAGCTTCCAGTTCTGCATCACTATCTCCACCATGATCACCTGATCGTGTCATTCCATGGTCACCCAAAATAAATAGAATATCGGAAGATTGAAGTTTAGAAACAATACGTCTAGAAAGAAATGCATACGGGTAGAGGAACAAACCCAGACAACAATGCAGTATATATAAATATGGATGCAAATCGGTGAAAACATCTAAAAATAATTCTGAAAGTCAACGTGATCTTAAAGAAATGTTACAAATTTGGATTGTTTGGAAAGTAGCATCAACTCACTTCGAGTTGGTCTTAAATAGCTCCATATGAAGAGTTAGTGTAGACACAGATTAGTCCCAGTCTAGTAGAAGTATTTTTGCAATTCGATTATGCAAAGCACGTATATGGCATCATCATGGACGCTGGTCGTCAAATTGGTTGAGTGTGATTCCGGCAAACTTTATCTGATTGTACATTAAGACGACATAGCTTGCACAATTAAGACTGAAAAGTTTTTCCCATGTAACAGGCTCCAAGTCTATACATTACCACTACGTACATTCTTCAGAATTGTATCGATGGGTAAAATTTAAAGATAAATGGTGAGACGGAGTAACTCTGTTTAGCCTCATTAATGAGTTGGAACAATGTACAGAGTTAGCCATATGCACTCATTTTGTATGTGGTGATTTTGTGCACAGCTTCCAATATGTTAATAGACTTTTCAGGTGCATTTAGAGAATAGTAATATTCAGAGAATCGAGTGCAACCACAATGTCAAGAAACAAACCGACTGTAGGTTTGTGATAATGTTCAAGGATTTGTCGGAAGGTAGAGTCACAGGACTAATACATTCAAAATTTCGATGAAAACAGATCAATTTCTCATGAGTCAGTTCTTCAGGTTTTTCCACCCAATTTTTTTAGTGTGAAAATAGCCAACATTTTTGACGCAAAATAAAAGATTCATGATTGTCATCCACATTTCACAGATTATTTTTGAAGGTGAATAAACACATAAACATATTACTTACCGATACCAAACCTCTCGCTACCAGTGACTTGCATAAAGTGCTGTTTCTCGCTCGACTATCGAAGTTTGCTGTTTGTTGGTCAATTGTGGTAATTTTCGTTTGATGTCCCGGGATGTAGTTTTGAGCACAGAGTTCTTCAGAAGAAATTTATCAGAAATTTCCACAAATTTTATTTTTCATTCTCTTACTGTTTTATTGAGTCTTGTAAGTCAAATCGATTACTATTCAAGCCGTTTGTTTAGTTCATATTCAGCTTAAAGGTTTTCAGATTCCGATGTATTTGTTTTGGTGTTTTAGCTATACCCCCTAGTTCACTCTCAATGACTGCATTAATTTGGTGGCAACAAAATTCTTGCTATTTTCTAAGCCAAACTCTTAATGACATTTCCGTTATTTAATCTGAGGACAGTTAGTTCCCACTAGTTATCGAAATAATTTTGTTGTATGCTTTACTTACAGTCACTTCAGTGGCGTATGTAGTTCGTTGATGATAATATTGTGGTGTGTTCTTATATCGACATAAGTAGTGTATAACGCTAGTCGGGAATAGAATGTCTGGCAACGGAAGGTCAAAAGATCGTGGAAGAAAGAACGGGAACAGAAAGCATTTAGTATGGAAATGCAGAAACAATGAAGTCTAAGACGATTGACTGATATTTGCAAAAGGAACAGTCAAGTTTGATCGACATTTTGCAAATTAAGTATTTTACTGTATGGTTCTCAGATCTTACTAAGATGTTCTGCAATTTTGTGTTCAAATACATTCGATTGTCCCCACTTGTATTATCGTTCACTGCACTATGATCCAAAGCGTTTGTTTTAGGAGCTGACTAGCTGGGGTTATTTTTAAAAATTGATTGCTTTGCTATATTGTTTCATCCTTCCATGAGTATTTGCAGGGATAAGATCTATTATCTCATGTCTCATGGAAAATAGGTAAAAGCTTCTACGTAGTTGCATTTGGAGGATTCGCATGTTATAGTGATAGTTTTTGATCGTTTGTGATTTTTCATGAGAGGTTTATGGCATTTTGAGTGCGCACTTATGTTTTGCTTCATATCTTTCTTTCTAAGAACTAATTCTTTCTTCCTGTACTATATCCTTATATGCAATATTTCTTTTATATATTACCACCATTGGATTAACTACTTCTATAAATCCGGTTGTCATCTTGCTGTGCTAATGAAGTATGGGAACTTGAACCGATGCACATGTGTGCCTGGTCCTACTTCGTAGCCGACTGCCTGACTGACTGCACTTATGTTACATCAATAGTATGATATGATATAATTATTCAACTATTTCCGGTTGCCTATTCTATTAATTATAATAAAAAAATACTTGACATAGAGTAGTTAAAGCATGTTTACCTTCAGTACAATATCATTACATATTCGTAACATTGACTTATTACTAACCTACTTGTGAATACATGCAGATTATGCTATTTTTGTGACTCACTGTTGATATATACATTACTTTTCTTGTGCATATATATTCTCGTCAGTGTATTCTCTTAATTTTTTGTTTCAACACACAGTTTCAGTCATTATAAAGCTTATTCATCGTTCAATGTGAAGGATTTGGATACAGTTGATCGAGGTGTTGAAAACTACTTTCTCTATGCCCTTAACGGTACTGCGTGGGATTGGGATAATGGAGTTGTTGACAGTCAAACACCACAGACTGATTGGGATATTCTTATTGGACATATGCTGGGGATAGATCACTGTGGTCACACATATGGACCTGCACATCCAGAGATGGCGCGAAAGCTAAATGAACTAAACAGTTTTATAAAGTCAGTCGAAATTTTTTATTGTCATCATATATTTTCATGGGTTAATAATTGTCGTTTAATATTGTGTAACTCATTTATCATGTGTAGGTTTGCATACTTCAGAGCAAAGGCATTACTAGTGGAATGGATCTCCATTAGCATTCGTTTGTATGCTGTTAGGTGATACGGAGGGTCCTATCAAAGTGAGGAGAAACTGGCATAGGAAATGATGTTTCTTTATAACTTCCACCTTAGTGGGTTGTCCTGTGTGAGAATTATCGAAGTTATAAGTTTTCTCTCTAGTGCTTCATCTTCAGCCAAACTCTAAAACACCCTCCACCTATCGCAGAACAATGGTCATTGTGTTCCTTGATGTCGAGGTCATCTTCATTTCGTTGGATGGGATTATGCTATCATGGGTTTTCATGCACGGATAATTAATATCTGAAAGGATTTTTACACAAATACCTCAAGAAGAGTGAGAGCATACAATCACCTCTCTCCATTGTTCCAACCCAACAATGAGTATAGACAGATCTGCCCAATCTTACTATACTTCATCCTTTCAACTGATGGCATTCTAGAAACAGTTCTGAAGAGAGTGCGTTGGTGGCTGTGTATATCTATAACCTGGAAGGCCTTCTCATGACGGGGCTGTTGTTTAAGAAATTGAGAGGACGAAAAGCGAATGTCCGACGCTTGAGAATTTGACCCGTTTTCATCGAAATTTTGAATGTATTAGTCCTGTGACTCTACCTTCCGACAAATCCTTGAACATTATCACAAACCTACAGTCGGTTTGTTTCTTGACATTGTGGTTGCACTCGATTCTCTGAATATTACTATTCTCTAAATGCACCTGAAAAGTCTATTAACATATTGGAAGCTGTGCACAAAATCACCACATACAAAATGAGTGCATATGGCTAACTCTGTACATTGTTCCAACTCATTAATGAGGCTAAACAGAGTTACTCCGTCTCACCATTTATCTTTAAATTTTACCCATCGATACAATTCTGAAGAATGTACGTAGTGGTAATGTATAGACTTGGAGCCTGTTACATGGGAAAAACTTTTCAGTCTTAATTGTGCAAGCTATGTCGTCTTAATGTACAATCAGATAAAGTTTGCCGGAATCACACTCAACCAATTTGACGACCAGCGTCCATGATGATGCCATATACGTGCTTTGCATAATCGAATTGCAAAAATACTTCTACTAGACTGGGACTAATCTGTGTCTACACTAACTCTTCATATGGAGCTATTTAAGACCAACTCGAAGTGAGTTGATGCTACTTTCCAAACAATCCAAATTTGTAACATTTCTTTAAGATCACGTTGACTTTCAGAATTATTTTTAGATGTTTTCACCGATTTGCATCCATATTTATATATACTGCATTGTTGTCTGGGTTTGTTCCTCTACCGTATGCATTTCTTTCTAGACGTATTGTTTCTAAACTTCAATCTTCCGATATTCTATTTATTTTGGGTGACCATGGAATGACACGATCAGGTGATCATGGTGGAGATAGTGATGCAGAACTGGAAGCTGCTTTCATCGTTTTTACTGCTGATCAGAGTACACTTGTGATAAAAGATGATTCAGAGAACCAAACTAATAGACGATTATATCAAATAGATCTTGTCCCAACTTTATCACTTCTAACTAATGTTCCAATACCCTATTCGAATTTGGGCATACTATATGGCCATCTGCTAGGATATGGTGCTGACCTTCACCAGGGTATGGTATTAAATTTTATACAGGTAACTTTGTATCCATGATTTACTGCTAATGATTTTATTAATTTAATGTCATTATGTTAGTATTGTATGTATTTTGTTGGTCCCTCTAGCAGATGTTAAAGGAACATTGTTTATTCGATCAAAATCGGTTAGACCTTTGGAGAGTAAAACTGTAACGACATTGTATAGTGTCAAGCAACTAAGTACAGACTTACTTTACTTTATGTGATAGATATTTAGTATCCCAATAAACTAGTCTTTTGTATGACAAGAATGAAAACATTGCTTATTAATGCAATCCTGTATATTAGCAGAAATTTTGAAGACATCAGACTATTATTATCATTATTTAAACACATAAACATTTCTACGAGGTGGCACCAAACATATGCGACACATAAATCATTTGATTTGTGCCGGGGCTAGGATGCTGCTCGAGTTCCCAAACTGAAGCAGGTGGTTTTCTTAGGGGGCTATACCCGGGGTCTCAACCACAAGGCAGTGGAGCAACGTCAGGAGATGCAGTCCCATGATAGCCAGTCACCAACGATTGGTTCATACGCCACTTGTTCCTTCAGGATCCTGGACCCCATATTCTTTTCTCTTTTGATATTGTTATTCCTCACGGTCACCATTGGTTTGAAATCAAGGTTTTCCAACTTGTCTAGGTAGATCCTTCATATACATGAACCCGGTCAAAGCACCGGACATTCGCCTTTTGTCCTCTCATTTTCTTAAAAAACACCCCCGACACGAAAGGCAGTAAGTAGGACTTCTGTGGCAGTGGTTGTATGAAAGTGGCCATGTGTGAGCAGTTCGAGAGGGAGAGTTGACTCTCCCCACTGTCGGCCGTATCAGGGTATTCGGGAGCGCATAATTTCCGTAGTCTTAATGTAATTGATTTATTATTTTTATTACACTTTAATATATTGGCCTGTTGTTATGACAGTATGAAAGGTCAAAATTGAATTGATTTATTCATTATGATTTTTGGTTCAACATTAATTCTGTTTAATTCAATTTGGCGATCACTCCGTATAGTATTTGTTTCAATTTCGCCTATGACATTTTATTCTTGTATGAAGTATTTTCATGTATGTGATTTATTCTGATTATTGGTTGTACAAACCAATACATAAATGAGTGTATTTTCGACTAGACGGGTCGGGATCTCTCGTGGTTCTGGCTGCTTGCGAAATATATTTCTCTATTCGAATTTCGACTACTGTTATAATTCTCTTATTACAACCTAGCTATTCCCATTGTTCAGTAATCTCGGTGACCAGTTTATTCGACAAGTCTCCAAATCAGAACACGATTGAACAGGAAAAGAGATTATGTCCCAAATAACAAGATTAGATGAAAGTAAGAAGCATAATAGGGAAAACGTCAGCATACTTATAGTTTTTACATGAAAAGATTCTAGAATGTTCTCCAAGTATCGACTAGCGCTGATTGGCTAATACTTATCCAATCAGCGTGCGCCAACGCAATCGTGCATTAAGCATGCTTTATTCCAATCTATGTCCCGCTAACAACTATTCTCTTTAGTTAACGGGGCTGAATGCATCAGAATACTAGCTTATTGGTCTTTGATCATAGTCTTTGTTCCATTCTCAGACTAGGTGAACTCGTAATCGCTTCGAAACATAGCACCTGTATAATGTTTTACCATTCACTTATTTTTCACTACTCTCCTTTACAGATGTTCACTTATACTGGAAATTATTTTTATAATATAAGTAAATTACCATTATCTCCTATACTTATGTCTTATATGAATCGTATTATATTCAATTCAACTTATGATTGGATAGAACAATTCAATGATATACAATTAATAAATATACTTAAAGAATTACAATTCATATTTCGTATACATTGGACTCAATTCAATGATTCATTGATATTCTTTGGTATCCTTTTAACATGTTACAGTTTGATTACTCTTTTATTATTGATTGAAAAGATTTCCAATACTCCAATGATACATATCCATAATGGTTTCTTATTGTTTACATGTATTTTATTGTTTTTTTCATGTATAAATATATACTACTTAAATCTGTTATTATTCATCCTAGTCTCATATGTTATCATTAAACATTATAAGTTTTCAAAGTTGATATTCACTGGTAACTTTATCGGTTTTTTGTTACTATTCTTATTGTCTTTAAGTTATTTATCAAATAGTATGATTATCTATGAATTTCATATCACTTTCTATTTCATTCAAAGTTTAATTGTTATATCTCTCATTTGTTCATTCATTCATATCGTGGATCATACTGATATTATGACATGGTATAACTTTAAATTTTTACGAAGATTTTGGTCTTTTCCTTGTCTTCCATTTATGATGATACTTTATCTAGGTATATTGTTATTGTTTCGTTTATTGATTAGACATTTTCTAATTTGTCGTGAAGAATTAAACCATAGTTCTATATGTCGATCTATACTTGATCCATGGATTAGTAAATCTTTGAATAAATTAAATCCTATTTATGAATTTCATCCAATTAGTTGGATACGTGTAACGTTTGCTTGTTTCATGTTAATCATTTGTTTACGTATGTATTGGCGGTTGTTGTTTGAATATCTAAATATATATATTGGTGTTAATCAATCGAATAAAGTTGCTTGGAGGAAATTATGTTTATTTATATTAATTGGTAGTTTATTGTCTTTATTATGGATGGTGGATTCTGCGGAATCAACGAATTGGATTGGATTCATTCCAAAACATAAATTGTAAGTTATTCACATTTCATTTCCTTAGAGTGGATAAGACAACTATGTGATGTTTTCTTATTTTCTATTTTTTTAAATCACTTGTGTTTGTTGGCAAAAAATGACTATATCTAATCTAGTAAAAAAACGCTTATAAGCCATTCTTCTGAATATCGTTATTGTTATTTGTCACTGGTATGGCCGAGGGTGAAGGGAGTTAGCTCTCCTTCTCGAAATACTCTCACATGGTTACGCGTTTACAGCCACTACCAGGGAAGGCCTACTCACTTCCTTCTTGTGGTAGGGGTGTTGTTTACGAAATTGAGAGGACAAAAAGCGAATGTCCGGCACTTTAACCGGGTTGATGTATATGGAAGATCCACCTAGACCAGTTGGAAAACCTTTGTTCCAAACCAATGATGCACATGGGCTGGCTCCAGTATCCTGCGGGAACAAATGGTGTATTAACCGATTATTGGCCACCGGCTCCCATGAGACTGTATCCCCTTACGTTGCTCCACTACCCTGTGGGCTAGACTTTTAGATTGAAGGCCCAGGATGCGGCCCCTTAAGAAAACCACCTGCTTCTGTCTGAGCACCCGGGCAGTATCACAGCCTGCACACAAATTAAGTGATTTGTGTGGCGCATATGTATTCAGTGCCCCTTTGTACCAATATTTATATGTTCAAATATATAAATTTGTCATTTGGCGATAGCTATTGTAGATTATTGTGCTGTCTTATTCTAGAGGTTCTCAGTATTAAACAGCATACTTGTTATTTGTTTTTTTCGATTTTATTTATTTCAACACATAGATATTGGTACAAAGAGGCACCAAATACATATGCGCCACACAAATCTCGTTCGATATGTATGAGGGCTGTGATACTGTCTGGGTGCCCAAACTGAAGCAGGTGGTTTTCTTAGGGAGCCACTCCCCGAGCCTTCGACCTGAAGTTCTGATCCACAAGGCAGTGGAGCATCGTGAGGAGATGCAGTCCCATGGTAGCCGGTGACCAACGATTGGTTCATACGCCATTTGTTCCTTCAGGATACTGGAGCCCATGTTCACCACTGATTTGGGGTCCGGTTAAAGCGCCGGTCATTCGCTTTCCATCCTCTTAATTTCGTAAACAGCATCCGCACCGTGAGAAGGGTGAGTAGGACTTCCCTGGTAGTGGTTGTATGCACGTAGCCAGTTGAGAGCATTTGGAGAGGGAGAGCGGACTCTCCACTCTTGGCTGTACCAGGGCATTTGGGGGTAGATTTTAAAGTGCCCATAGCACTAGGCACCATGCCTCGATTATATTAAGTCAAAACTGAATCCTATATAATCATATGATCTTGAACATTTTGTGAACTTAGTTCCATAAACCTCTCTACCATCTTCTCTCTTTTTGTTTCCAGTTTGAAACATTTAATCTGGGGAATCAGCTAATGTTAAACCGGTTAAATTATTTGTCACATCTTAGTTTGCGGGAAAACATTTTAAAAAAATGAAAGCATCTAATAATAACTGATAATATTATGGGATAAAATTTTCACTCACAGTTGATAATATTTAGGTAACTCGTGTTTCAGTTATACCATCAGATTATGAAGAGAAAATTGTGAAGTTATAATCATTATTTATAAGTTGAAAGTGTACAGTTTCGACAAAATAGCTTAGTTGTACCATTTGTAAATGAGGCGTTGATGAAAGCGAATCGAAATCTCCCAAATCATAAATCCTTTTGTAGATTAGTTTCGTTGATTAATGTGAGTAAATGTGAAATCCTGGTTCTCTTTTGATTACCGCTAAGACATCTACATCCCGATTGTTTATTATTCAGGTTTTTAAACACTTAAATCCTATCTATCCTAATCTTGCATCAGCGTTTTATCATCCGACTAAATGATTACTTTTTTTCTTTGCTGAAAATGAGATCATTTGATACTCTAAGTATATTGAATGTTGAATGGTACATTTTATTTGTCTAGGCATACAGTTCGGATTTGGATTGCTCGTATTTTCTTGATGACTATATTCTACATATTTTTTCAACTTTTGAAATCTCCATTTCAACTTATTCAACAGATAAATTTTATAAAATCTATGCAGTCAAATGATTGTAATCAATCCATTCAAAGAAGTGTTCTCTATTTGTACACTTTATGGACAATGACCTGTTTAACAGTTTTACCATTACTTTCTCTACTTGTTTTCCTAAATGAATTCCATATAATTTGGTTAGTTTTCATGATTATATTCGTTCAAATACGTATACATGCAACTACTGTAAAATGTAATCATTTGGATAAATGTATTAAAAGTGAGTTTAATATTATAATTTACTCAAATATACAATGTACTAAACATTCTTTTTATTCATTAATTACTTAAGTTAGGATAAATTGACCTTGCAAAAAGGTGTAACTCATAGAATGTTAAAAAATGATTCTATTAGCTACTTTCAGATGTTTTCAACTAGATGAGATAAATGGTCCCAAGTTCCCTGGCACGACCGAGAGTGAGGAGAGTCCACTCTCCTTTTCCAAATGCTCTCAAGTGGCCACACGTATACAACTACTACCAGGGAAGTCCTAATCACTTTTCTCATGGCGCGGATGTTGTTTACGAAATTAAGAGGACGGATAGCGAATGATCGGCACTTTAACTGGGTTGGTGGACACGGAGAGTCCATCTAGGGGAGTTGGAAAACCCTGATTCCAAACCAATGTTGCACATGGACTCCAGGATCCTAAGGAAACTAATGGCGTATGAACAAATTGTTGGTGACCAGCCACATAGGACCGCATCTTCTGACGTTGCTCCATTGTCTTGTAGATTAGACCTTTAGATCGAAGGCTTGACGTATGGCCCCCTAAGAAAATCATCTGCTTTGGTTTGGGCACCCGAGCAGTGTCCAAGCCCTCGCACAAATCGAACGATTTATGTGGTGCATATCTACTTATTATTTATTTATTTTAGCACATAGATATTGGTACAAGGAGGCACCAAATACATATGCGCCACACAGATCTCATTCGATGTGTGTGAGAGCTGTGATACTGCCCGGGTGCCCAAACCGAAACAGGTGGTTTTCTTAGGGGGCCACACCCCAAGCCTTCGACCTGAAGGTCTTATCCACAAGGCAGTGGAGCATCGTCAGGAGATGCAGTCCCATGGAAGCCGGTGACCAACGATTGGTTCATATGCCATTTGTTCCTTCAGGATCCTGGAGTCCATGTGCACCATTGATTTAGAATCAGGGTTTTCCAAATCCCTTAGGTGGACTCTCCATGTCCACCAACCCTATTAAAGCACTGGACATTACGTTTTTGTCCTCTCAATTTCGTAAAAAAGCACCCCCGCCACAAGAAGGAAGTGAGTAGGACTTCCCTGGCAGAGGCTATATACGCGTGGCCATGTGAGAGCATTTCGAGAAGGAGGGAGGGCTCACTCCACTTTCGGCCATATCGGGGCATTTGGGGGCACATATCTACTTGGTGCCTTCTTGTATCTATGTTTATATGTATAAGCAAATTAAGATGAGATCAAAAGAAAATTGTTGATCCAACATATCGCGTTTCATAATACTAGAGAAATATTATACACAAGAAATAAAATATTAAAATGATTTGGATCAGAGATAAAAGTGAATAAGATAATTAGTAAACTCATCATTACCATAAACTTTTAATATTAAAACAATCATATGCTTTTAACAGTATGTGAATACAATGTTAGTAGCTTTTCCAAAATAATCTAGATCAATAGCTGGTTATTTTATAATTTCATGTTGTCATGTAACAGGTTTTATTGAGTAACCCTTGAGTTAAACATTTTACTAAATCTACGCATTTGTACATATGCATGTCATTGGGTTTGATGTTTGATTCTCTGTTAATCTAGAGCAGTAATATTCAGTAACACTTAACATAATCCATTGTAATCAAAGTAGACAACAGCATAAATATCCATTACCCCAAGAATTCACAATACATAGATGAAATTAAAATTATTGTACCAATGTTGGTGAGGGCGACTGTTGGATAGGAAATAAAAGAGTTAGTTATCAAAGAATATTGAAACTCATTTATTCAGCTAGTCAGCTACAGCGTAGGACCAGGCACATATATGCATCGGTCCAAGTTGCTGCACCTCACCAATTAGCACAACAAGATGATGGTGGTAATATATAAAAGAAAGATTGCATATGAGGATATAATACAGAAAGAAAGAATTTGTACGTAGAAATAAAGATGTGAAGCAATTTTGACCTCGTAGTTTAAGGGAAGACAAAGAGTGTATACACCTACACCATGATGATCGATTCCGAACCATGTCACTGAGTCTCCAACCATTGGTTACGATAGTCACGAAGACCCCAACCAAGTAGTCTGCATCTACCAACATGGCTCAGACTAGAAGTTAGTGACTTCAAGCACTGATGTTACGTTTTGGTTTGGCCGCCCCTAACTTTCTTCCAACCATCCCGAACACCGGTTAGCATTGCACGTCGTGGTAATCGGAGTTCAAGCATACGTAACACGTGGCCTAACCATCTCAGTTGATGAAGATTCACAGCCTCATCAACTGATTTACCATCATTCCCTAATATCCTGCGCGTAACCTTACTATTACTTACCCGGTGATCCCAGCAGATGCGAGAAATATTTCTAGGGCATTTGTGATCAGATACTAGTAAATTACGGGTATCTCCTACTCTTAATGACCACGTTTTGCAGCCGTAAAGTAGGACAGAACGAACTACCGCTCACTATGCTCGTCCCTTAATTGATAGACGGATATCTCGCCCTCGCCATAGGTGACGTAAGTTGACAAAAGTCAAACGAATCCGTGCTGATATTTCGTCAGACACCCACCCAATTGGGCTGATCAGAATTCCAAGATAAGTGAAGTTGTCGACGTGTTTGACTACTTCACTCCCTATCCTTACTTCAGGTGTTGACACAAGCCAGTCCTGAAGCAACAACTTGGATTTAGAGGGTGTGAAACGCATCCCAAATATCCTGAAATTGTTGTTCAGTGCTATTAAAAGACTACATTTTCTCAGCGTCTTTACCAAACAGGACTATGTTATCTGCGTATTTTAGATCGATACGTGGACTTCCTGGAAGGAGATCAACGCCCGAGAATTCAGTCGACGAGAACGTTGTTTCCTGTAGTAGGTCAATGATGAAACTGAAAAAAATGGAGAAAGTGGACAGCCTTGACAGACACCACTTCAGGTTGCAAAATTAGATGACAGTTCGATTGGCAGTGATCGAGTAAAGAGCGTTCACAAGGTTTATGTACTTCTGAGGTATGCCTTTCAATGACGGACAGTGCCACAGAACCGAGTCAAATGCTACTTTTAATTCACGAAAAACTATCATTGTCGACGCTGATAAGCATGCCTTAGTTCTAAAATCTGACGACCAGGTCTGAAGCCAGCTTGATTCTCTCGTGTTTGCAGTTCACGAGTCCTAGTTAGGCATCCGATAATTATCGAGGCTAGTATTTTAGATGGTATATTAGTTAAACTAATCCCTCTATGGTTGTCACAGGATGTTTTACTTCTTATATATTGGGACGACAAGTGGTTGTGACCAGTCAGATGGGATAACGTCTAACTCCCAGATCTTAGCTGAAATATTAGCTCACCTAATCGCTAAAATTGGATCACCATCCTTAAAGACCTCTGGAGCCAGTCCATCTGGACCAGCTGCCCTTCCTCGTTTCAGATTAACTATAGCCTTTTGAACTTCCGCTAGAGTTGGGGGACTTACTTCAAAGTTCCACTCACACTGTCTGGGAATGGAGGGCAGTTGTAGAGTAGCTGAAGGCCAGCTGAACTGCTATCTGAAATGTTTCGCCCATCGTTCTAAACGTCTGGACTGAGAGCAGATGAGGGTGTCGTCTTTTTCCGAAATAGTCTGACTTACGCTTGATTTATTAATTCCATTTTCTTTTATTAGTCTGAAAAGCTGTCTGGTGTTAACTACAACCTCTGCCTTTTCCATTTCTTTTGCTTTCGTTACCCACCGCTGCTCACGCTCATTCCTTAGACTTTTTGTTAATGTATATCTGATTTGTTTTCGCTCTTCATCGTGTTCAGAGCCTGATGGGATGAGTTTACGAGAATCCATTAGTACAATAGACCTTGAGGAAATTCTTTGTTTCTTTGTAACCCTATGGTTTAAATCACTGATAGATGTCACTGCTGTTTCCACAGCTGTTTGTATAGCTTTCCAAGCAACATCTGGGTCAACCTCGTTTTCAGAACTACCTAATTGTGACCTCAGTTGTTCCTGGAACCTACTTTTGGTTTTCTCGCTACTCAATTCAGTTCTAATGGCTCTTTTTAGTGTGGCTTTTCTGCGTCCAGTGAGGCGCAAGCAGATGCGTGCCCGTATTAGGGCGTGGTCGGAGTCCAAGCAGGTACTCCAGAATGAGTGACAATCTTCTACCGGTCCTCTCCAACGATGACTGATGGCAATATGGTCTATTTGAGTCCATCGTTGGTTTGGTGTGGGGGTCGCCATGTTAGACGATGTCTCTCCTTATGCTTAAAATTTGTTTGCTAAAAATAAGCGATTGTCTGAGCACAGTTTCAGCAGACGATCACCATTATCTGTTCGCTGTGCCGGAATACTAAAATACCCACCTAAATGCCTTTCTGTTTGGTCTAAACTACCTATCTGGGCATTAAAGTCACCTGCTACGAGTACTATGTCTGAACGTTTAGCTTTCTGAAGATGTTCAGATAGCTTTCTGTAAAATTCCCCTTTCATTTCATCTGAGCTGCAGTCAGTGGGAGCGTAGGCAGAAACAACAAAAAGACAACGACGTGTGTTCCTATCATTCCGAGTTCTTACAGAGTCGTTTAGCCGAACTGCACATAGGTGACTGTTAACAGGGTTCCATTCTAATAGTGCTTGTTCTACCCTCGTACGTAGTGCTATGCCTACACCCGCCGGTCCAAAAGATTAGTAAATGTTCGTTATATATATATATATATATATATATATATATATATATATATATATATCATTCTGTTAAATTATGGAATAGGGATTTCTCTACTTCAGATATTGATTTTTAGCCTCAGTGATCTTGTTAACCAAGTTATTCTACCATTGAATCAATCATGATGAATCATTCGTCCATTGTATTCTTATCTTAGATACTGGTGAGGGGTCAGTTGTATATGTCATTTCGTGTACAATCCGTTCTTATTATCATATCAAATTACTTAGTCATATTGGCCTGTTTGTCTCTTCAAAAATCAAATGTTAATGTGGTTTACGAAAACTGTGAATCTCTCCTGATAACCCTACGAATACAACTTCCAATGTTTCCTCACTTATTTTTCACTCATTATCAAATAATGAAAAAATTACCTTCTTAGAAATCATAATATATCGTTAAGCTCCTTTTTATCATCAGTAACAGACTTAGTATCCCCTAAATAATCCATCCTTTTTGTAATTTCTTTAGATTCACTACAGCTTCATGTACCTCAGAACAGCATCTCGTGGATTATTGCAATATTTCTTTGCTTGTTAGATAACTTATCTTTTTTTATAACTGGTCATCAACCAACATTATCTGGAATTCCATGGGATGCTGCTTATGCTGCATATGAAGGTGATCATAATACACGATGGTTACCAGGATTGACTGTTCTCTTGCATTTATATTCAGGTCCTATATTAATTGCTTTCAGTATGCCGACGATTCTTATTTTTTCTGCACGCCTTCATCATGTCCATGGGACGGTGATCCATTCCCATCCTAACAATAGCCGAAATACTGGTTTTTACAGATTTGTTGATGCTTTGGATTATTCATTTGGAGATTTATCATTAGTAAAAGTGTGTTAGTAAGTTATTGGCTAGCGCCCTTAATGATCTTATTTCATGTGGTTTTAAATGCAATAAAAATATCTAGTTTTATTTATGTAACTAGTACGAGTATATTTTCATTAATAGGACATATCAAGGCTATTTTATGAGTCAAAACAAGACTAAACTATCTATCAGTAATGGGACTTACTCATGGATGTAATTTTTGTGTTAGTTGAAAACTCCTTCCCAGCCAAGGGGTTCAGGAAAAGTCAGTCAGCTACAACGTAGGACCAGTCACATATATGCATCGGTCCAAGTTGCTGAACCTCACCGATTAGCACAACAAGATGAAAACCGAATCATAGAAGTAGTAAATTCAGTGGTGGTAATATATAAAAGAAAGATTGCATATAAGGATATAATACAGAAAGAAAGAATTCGTTCGTAGAAATAAAGATATGAAGCAATTTTGATCTCGCAGTTTAGGGGAAGACAAAGCGTGAATACACCTACACCATGATGATCGATTCCTAACCATGTCACTGAGTCTCCAACTATTGGTCACGATAGTCACGCGGAATTCAACCAATTTCAGGGAAAGACATTGTCACCGAACGTTTCTGGTGCTGGTTTACTCCTTATAGTACTTGAATATTCACACAAATTGATCATTCACAATAGACTATTCGGATTCGAATGTCATTGGAAGCATTAGTTTCCTCAAAACTGTAGATAAACTTTGATGAAAAATGCCAAAAAGAATGGAACTTAGGCTTAGGGATTCCCATTGATCGGTCCCGATGACCTTACATCGAAATATGATGCACACTATGCTGAATCTTGTAGGATTACAGCCCTATCTCAACTTGGTCAGTACAATGTGATCAACGCTAAATTGTAAACAAACATCAAATCGACTACTGTTTAGTAATCAGTTTAGTAACTTTTTCACTGAAATCTGAATGCTAATTAAAACTATTGAACATTAATTTAAATTGTTACTAATTGAGTGAACTACGCTGTGAAATATTTCTACATTACTATCCTGAAGTATATATGTGTAAACATTTACAATATTTTCTCATTCTATGTTATAGTTATGCACTATTCACAACTCATGAAATCAACGATTCCCGACCGTTACCGCTACCTTGACGTGATCATCGGGCTTTTCTGTCGTGATGAAGCAATCGAGCTATACTGGTTGGAAAAACCGTTCCTCAAGGTATTACCGTGCCAAACAGGTCGGTTGACGAGCGGTAAGGCTAAAACCAGTAGACCCAAGGCCTGAGGGCGAAGTCGTACTTCTGCCTGTACAGAGGTGTAGCGACAGTAAGGTGTTTCCCTCAAACAACTAGCATAACAGTGACTCTGCTTTCTCGTTATGCTCAGCCAAAAACACTTAACTTAGCTAAAGGGTATCATATCATTCGAAGAAATCAAGTCAAATACAATATAATATTTCATGCATTCTTGGATGTATTTCTATAAAGTCAACATTCTTCGACTTATTTAAAGAACTTCAGATTTTGTGGGATATTCGAGTGAAAATATGTTGTGACTTTAAGGCCGGCTAATTATCACGTGATTTATTGGCCAATCGAAATACGACTTATTCAATATTAGTACTGTGCTAAACCAATGACGTTCAACCGGTATGAGCAACCTATCTTCTTTATTGGTCGTTTTTCTTCCTAGTCCTTCCAGTTGAGTCCAGAACTCCAATAACAACTTCCACTATGAGAATCATTTATTTCTAACATACTTGACTTATTTACCAACCAAACAGACCGCATCACACCATAAAATAGGAAATAATACACAAGATCAAGCCAAGAGGTGACTGTGAACATGGGAGACTGTAATCAATAAACTGAACAGTAAAATGTATAATAATAATCTATACGCGTCCACGATCCCGCTCTCAGGATTCAAACCCAGGGCCTTCAGTCTCGCGCGCGAACGCCTAACCTACTGGACCACTGAGCCGGCACCCAATGGTGCTAATGTCTAATCTCAACCAATCCACAAAGTTGCGCGACCATCTTCCATTGTACTGAGGTAGACACCTATTTCTAAAAGACACGGATTAGCTCCACTGGTCACGGCTTCTCACCAGAACTGCGAGAATTTTCTCACGAATCTATTCACTAGTGAGCACATGGTAATTATCAGTTTAGGGGTTGTGGAGATTGTTAAGTTTTTTTTGATTGAGATCATGAACCGATTGATGTTAGACCACCATTGAAAACCTGGAAGCACTGGACAGCCGTTTCGTCCTACTGTGGAACTTCTCAGCAGTGTGCATCCACAATCCCGCCTCTCTGGATTTGAACTCGGGACCTTCGGTCTCGAGCGCGAACGCTTACCTCTATACCACTGAGTCGGCATCCAACGATGTTAATGTCTAACTTCGACTTATCCACGAAATTGAGCGACACATGGATTAGTTGAAGTTAGATATTAACACTGTTGGATGCCGGCTTAGTGGTCTAGAGACTAATTTTTGACAAATCACCTTGATTGGCAACTTGCATTTTAATAACCCCATTCAATATAGGCTGACTATCTGTAAAAACTAATTGAAGTGTTGCTATTTTCTTCACTCTGTGATAATTTACACGAACATTGTTGTTCTTTCTGTTGTAATCTAATCTCAAACTTAACATTCATCTGATATTCTTTTCACTGAATAAAAAATGGCTCTATACGTATTCATCATCAGTCGACCACTAGATTTTTGGTTCACGATCCCTTATTTCAGAACTCAAGACAATCTTGATAACTAGTAAAGTTTTTTATGGGGTGATTGATTTAAACACATAAATGTTGGTACAAAGGGGCACTGAATACATATACACCACACAAGTCACTTGATTTGTGTATGGGCTGGAATACCACCCGAGTGCAGTAGCCGGTAACCAAAAGTTATTTCATACACCATTTGTTCCCTTAGGATCCTTGAGCCCATGTGCGCCATTGGTTTGGAATGAGGGTTTTCCAACTCCCCTAGGTGAATCTACCGTGTCCACCAACCCGGTTAAAGCACCAGACATTAACTTTTCGTCCTCTCAATTTCGTAAACAACATCCCCACCGCGAGAAGACAGTGAGTAGGACTTTCCTAGCAGTGGCTGTTTGCGCATGACCATGTGAGAGCATTTCGAGAAGCGGGCTGACTCTCCCCATTTTTCGGTCGTACCAGAGCGTTTGGGGGCGTTCGCCGTGCAATTTATCTACATGGTTCTTGGTTGAAAAAAACCTATATACATAATATCGTAATACACATAGTTTTAATGAATTCGATCCAAAGAGATTTTGGTGAGACTATAATCTGCGGATGACCTTTGAGTGACGCCAGTGTGACCTTGAGAATGTTCACCTACTTACTGGGACTAAATGAGGGTTATAAAGCAGTTTCAAGTATAAGGATTATGATTCACGGTTGATGATTAGGGTTGGGAATTAGATTTATTGTTTTTTCATCACGAACTGTGACATCAACTAAAATGTCAAGACGCTATTTTAACCAAATGGATGAATGAATTCGGCACCGAAATCCCTAAATCTGAATCATTCGTACATAAATTATAGTCTCGATCAGATTTCAACTAATGATATTCACTATATTCAATTTGATAACTGCTTCGTTTAACAAACAAAATTTAGATTCATCATCGTGATGATGATTGATCTTGATTTCATAATGAAAATAACTTGAATATGACAAGTAGTATGGAACTGAAATTCCCTGGTACGCCCGAAAGTGGGGAGAGTCCGCTCTCTTTCTCGAAATGCTCTCACATAGCCACGCGTATATAGCCTCTGCCAGGGAAGTCCTACTTATTGCCTTCTCGTGGCGGGGGTGTTGTTTACGAAAATGAGAGGCCGAAAAGCGAATGTCCGGCGCTTTAACCGGGTTGGTGGACATGGAGAGTCCACCTAAGGAGTTGGAAAACCCTGATTTCAAACCAGTGGTGCACAGGGGCTGGCTCCAGTATCCTGAAGGAACAAATGGCGTATGAACCAATTGTTGGTCACTCGCTACCATGGGACTGCATCTCCTGACGATGCTCCACTGCCTTGTGGACAAGACCTTCAAGTCGAAGGCTTGGGGTGTGGCCCCCTAAGAAAACCACCTGTTTCGGTTTGGGCACCCGGGCAGTATCACAGCTCTCACACACATCGAATGAGATCTGTGTGGCGCATATGTATTTGGTGCTTCCTTGTACGAATATCTATGTATTAAAATAAATAAATAAAATAAAATGGGACTGAAGATGTGAATCATTGAACCTAATTGTTTATTTATTTGTTCATTCTAATCAACGGACGAACAATATTCATTGACATCTTTACCAAAAAAGGAATTTTTTTGTTTTTTTTTCCATTGTAGACTTTAGGTTGTATGCTAAGTACTGGTTTATTACGTCGTCATTTAATGGTATGGAAGATATTTGCACCACGTTTATTATTCTCTATTTTAAGTTTATTTATATCAGTTGTATGTCTTCCAATGATTCGTTTTTCATTTGTCTATTGTTTTCATAATAGAATTTGTAACATTTTACAAAGTAAATTTAATATAAATATGTGTGTATAGGGCTACATACGTTTGTCAATGTGACTACATTTTCTCTTAATCTATTTATGTATTGGCTTTATTCAAGATCCATACTTACACTGTTTGACCTCTTGTTGTTGTTTTTGTTGTCATCGTCAATATCAGTAAATTTGATGTCGAATGGATGCTTTCTGTTGTATAATTATTACTCTCTTTCGTTTTTGATACTTACTTACGCCTGTCACCCCCCCCCATGGAGCATAGGCTACCGACTAGCGTTCTCCAACCCACTATATCCTGAGCCTTCCTTTCTAGTTGTTATAATCTCTTTCTTACGGTTATGACCCAGCTATTCTTATTGCTTAGTATTCTCGAACACCGATTCACTCGACAAGTCCTCAAATCAGAACACGGTTGAACAGGAAAAGAGATTATATTCCAAATAACAAGGTTAGATGGAAGTAAGAAGCAAGCCAGTGGTCAATAGGGAAAACAGTAGTATATTTATAGTTCTTCGTATGAGATTTCTAGTGTTCACTAAGTATTGGCTAACGCTGATTGGATAAAAATTAGCCAATCAGTGCGTACCAAAGCAATCGTACATTAAGCATGCTTTAATCCAGTCTATGTCCCGCTAACACTAGTTCTATCCAATTGTTGTGCATTCTTCTCATATCTACCTCCATTTCTCGACGTAATGTGTTCTTTGGTCTTCCTTTTCTCCTTTGACTTTGAGGATTTCAAGTGAGGGCTTGCATTGTGACGTAGTTGGTTGCTTTCTTCAATATATGTCCTATCCACTTGCAGCGCTTCTTATTAATTTCTTCCTCCATTGGAATCTGGTTTTTCTCTCTCACATTAGGTTGTTGCTGATAGTGTTTGGCCAATGGATCCGAAGTATTTTGCGTAGACAACTGTTAATAAACACTTGTATCTTCTGAATGTTGGCTTTCGTAGTTCTCCAGGTTTCCGCCCCATTTGTATTCTGAAGATCATATTGAAGTTGATTTCAAGAACTATGAATTTTTTGAATAGGATAGAACTATTAATAGTGGAAATGTTAAGATAAATGAAGTGGGAAATAGTAGTTTTATCTAGGAAACTGGTATTTACAGATAACGTTCGACTTTCATATCACTAACGATTCTACAATTCGCGCACACCTTTTGGTAAAGCAGATTAGATATTATGGGTGATTAGATATTCGTGTAGAATTATTCTTGGTTTTTCTATCAATTTCACTGCGTTTTACCAAGCGTATATTATCACTTGAAGGGTGAGACTATAATTTATGAACGACCTTTGAGTGACTCTAGACTGACCTTGAGAGTGTCCATCTAATAACTAAGACCAAATGAAGGTTATAAACCAATGTGAGGAATAAGAATTATCAATTATTATTGATGGTTAAGGTTAGGAATTAGATTTAGGGTTTTCATCACGAAATGACATCAACTATGATACCAAAATTCTTTAGCCAAATAGACGAGTGAATTTCGCTCCCAAATCCGAGATCTGTAATCTTATATCTGATTGGTTCGTTCATAAATTGTACTCTGGCCAAAAATTATCGAAGTCAAAATAACCTATTGCTGAGTAGTATACAAAACTTCACATTAATTAATAGCTGAGTACTTCATCAGATAAGATTATAATATAGAAAGATGCAAATTCATAATTTTGTTGGTGAAATTACTTGATAAGTTTATGGTTACAATTATGAAATCTTTCTACAATAAACAATTCAGATGATTTTTGTCAAGTCTGATTGATTTAATGATGATTATGAAAGAATTTCTAATGTCATACTTTTGTTAATTTTTGCAAAATCAATAGTGAATTGTTTCAATTTATGGACACATGACATAAGGGAAATTAGTCAATCAGATAGATATTTTCTATGTACTTAAATTAATGGTTATTCTGATTGTCGGAACGGACATCAACCTCGTGACTTCCGAAGGGATTCTGCTTTCATCATGAGTCGTCATGACTCTTCTAAATGAAGATATTCTAACTCCCAGGGCAGAGTCTGAATTATTTTTACTAGTTAGCGTTTTTTTTAGTGAGTTGGTTTTCTACTACATGTGGTCGCTAACCCCATGCCCTACTCACCTTTTTAACCAGGGCTTGGGACCCGCAGTAGCGCAAGAGGGGCTCCAGGCGAAGATAATCACTAATCAAATTTATTGTAGCATGTATGGAGTAAAAGTAAATATGTGATAATGTTAAACAAGTTAGTTATTCATGGCATATTCAAACAATAACTGATCAAGCTCGAGATGAAATAGAAGTAGTAGAAATTTCTACTTACTAATCATAAGTAGCTATAATGTAGTTAGTGATACTCGTCTGTTATCGCTCGTGCTTCTGGCTTTTTGCGTAATATACTTCCCTGTTTGGACTTCGACTTCTCTCTCTAGTTGGCGGGCTGGGACGCGCCAGAATAGCTAGCTTATTGGTCTTTGTTCCGTTCTTAGAGTAAGTGAACTCGTAACCACTTCGAACATAGCATCACTTATAGTAAATTCAATAACCAACTATTGATATTGTTGTTCGAGAAGTTGAATAATTAGTTGCTATAGTGACAGGAGTTCTGTCAGTGAAATTATATCAAGCAGAATAGTCGGGGTTGTCCACAGCATCTTACATTAGGCTTGGTTTCAACGGTGTGTCATGCTTAGTTTCGTCTTGTGAAAAAAGACTTCGTCAATAAACAGAACTGGTGCCGTACTGAAGATATATATCGTTTATTTATTTATTTGAACACAAGTATTAGTACAATGAACATATATGAGCCACACAAGTCACTTGACTTGTGTACTACCCGTGTTCCCAGACTGAAGTATACGGTTTTCTTACGGGCTACACCCGAAGCCTTCAACCTAGAGGTCTGATCTACAAGGCAGTGGATCAACGTCAGGAGATGCAGTCCCATTGTAGTCCGTGACCAATGATTGGTTCATACGGCATTTGTTCCCTCAGACTCCTGGAGCCCATGTGCACCATTGGTTTGGAATGAGGGTTTTCAAACTCCCCTAGGTGGGTCCTCTATATCCACCAAAACACCTATCATTTGTCACGTATTTCTTATTTCATTCCGATCACATCTTTATTCAGTTATTTCACCACACGTTAGGCAATGAGACAATGAAAGTGCCACTTGAGAGTGAACAAAAAAAATCTAAATAAGTTGATAAGATGTTTCCTATCGTATAGTATATCAAATATTTACTCAGCGAGGTTTTTTATGCTTTCCTATTTATAATGTATCAGTAATGCAACGGAGAAAGAGAACATATCTTTGAGTTGAATAGGGGCCCATGTGATCAGACTATCTATTTTGAGAAGCAGTTAAATCACCTATTATGGTTATTGACTGTATAGAATGAATGACACATCGGCAAACTGTGCGATTACCGTTTTCTGACCAATGACAATGATATGACGACCGAGAACACTACATAATGCTTACTGGTGCTGGTTACAGTTTTCCACAGCCGATAGTAATACTAGAATGAGAAAATAGCATGCAGATAAACGTTCACAATAAAGTTCAGTTTCTAACTCGAAATTTGTGTGATAACGGATTAATTAGCTGATATCACATCAGTATAACTAAGGCAATGCACTATGTGTGACGTTTAACGCAATAGTACTCTCGTAATGAATCAATAACTTGGTGAGAACGCAACACGAAATAATAATTTATGCACTCAGCCAAGAAGAACGCTTGTGAAAAACATTTGTTTCATACAGAGAACGACTTGACCCTACTAGTACGCTGAAACGAAAATATCAAGTGGAAAGTACCTCTACGATACTGGAAGGTTTGGCCATGAATACAAAGTCCACATGAAATGCTTTAACAAAACAGGTTATAATGATCGTTAAATGCATGCGCTTTCCAAGTAGCTATGCAAAAACTTCACATGTCTATATAAAGATGAATTCAAATCAGTCAACAACTTCATTCTTGAACATTTGATCAACTCAGTTTTCGTTTGGTGTCAGAAGATCTAGTGTCTTTGGTTAGAGTCTGGCAGATCATTGGTTGGCATGACTCAATATTTGTTAAACTGACCAGATTGTATTTAATTTTCATCGAGAGTCGCCGTAATCTTTCATACATAACTCCTTTTTAAAGCAGATTTGTACTGTTTAGTCTTATTACGTGATAAGATGTGTTCAGATAATGAGACCGTGAAACGTATATTTGAGAAAAGGAAAGGGTATGAAGATAAATAAACGAACAAAGAGTATGAAAAATAATAATAAATACAATCATTTATTAAGGCCAAGTGAGAGATAAGTGTGTTAAAAATTTCTTAAGAACACAAAGACTTGGATTATTGGCTCGGATTCCCATAGCTTTTGCTATTTGTAAGAGACAAGATCTAATACTGTAAGGAAACTAGTACGAATATGATAAATAACTTTAAATGACTTATACAAGAACTTTCGTGTAAATTTGATCGAATAGTTTCACAGTATTTGGGCGCCGAGTTGATGTAAGACATTAAAGAGGAAGGATATATTTGTAAATCCTCAGCGAATGAATATGAAGTAAATCCAATGTTTCGCCTGGCAGTCTGGTCCAAGCTTTCTCAAGGAAATATAATCAAATATCAAAATGATGGAATATAAATAGGTACATTGTTTTCCGGTTCATGACTTTTTCAGTCCACTACATGATATCATTACCTTTTCCTAACCACAAAGGGAGCTGTTCACTAACTTTTCGGTTCAGTTGTTTGGTAGTGCGCTTAATATAACTTTCTCCACAGGAGCATCTGAATTTGTAGATACACATTGAAGTGGTATAACCAGGTAACTTATCATTTATTTGCGGTACATCCAGCCGACGAGTCCCAAATGGTACGAAACGTGCATCATGGATTCCACTACTAACCATTACCGATCTTTGTACATAATACTTGTGACTTAAGACAGTATCAAGATAATCCACACAGGATACACATATTCCAACAAGATACTGATCAATTTCAT